TGGCTGCGTTCGCGTAGTGTAAAAATATGAACCCCTCCCCCAGGCCTTTAACCTTACGCGTTCGCGGGTGCTTGGTCGCGTTCGCGAAGGGTATCCCCCCTTTTAGCCTCGCGTTCGCGTCACCAGCGTCGCGTTCGCGAAGAATAAATTTGGCACCTGGGAGATTTGACTTACGCGTTCGCGAGTGGGCCCACGCGAACGCGATGAATAAAATCCCTGGGCACTGAACAGCAAAAACCTGCAACTTTTGATGAGTTCAAAACCTTCTGAAACACATCCGAAACTCACCCGAGCCTTCGGGGCTCCAGACCAAACATACGTACTAACTCAAAAATATCATATGAACTTATCCGTGCGATCAAATCTCCAAAATAACCTCTTAAATAACGAATTAAAACTCAAAATCAATAAAATTTCTCAAAACTTCTTTAAACATCAATTTTTGCATTTAAGGTCCGAATCACGTCAAATGGATCTCGTTTCTTACCAAACTTTACCAACACATATAAATCGTATTAAACCTGTACCAGGCTCCGGAACCATAATACGGGCCTGATACCACAGGTTTCACATAACATTTCACTTTCAAAAACTTTTATATTTTTCAGGAATCAATTTCTTTCAAAAATTCATTTCTCGGGCTTGGGACCTCGGAATTCGATTCCGGGCATACGCCCAAGTCCCATATTTTCCTACGGACCCTCCGGGACCGTCAAATCACAGGTCCGGGTCCGTTTACTCAAAACGTTGACCGAAGTCAAATTAATTCATTTTATAGTCAAAATATATCATTTTTCACAGATTTTCACATATAGGCTTTCCGGCTACGCGCTCGGACTGCGCACGCAAATCGAGATGATGCTAAAAGAGGTTTTTAAGGCCTCGAAACGCAGAATTTAATTTAAAAACAAGTGATGACCTTAGCTTGCAATGTAAGCATGTAATTTTCTTTTACTTATATTGCATCTGTTAATATTTTGGTACAATAGTACAGTCGCAGTTAGTTGTTGCAATATTCTAGAGCAATCATATATTATGTTGGTATATATGTATGCCATATTAGTATCATATGGTACTACAAGTCTTTTTTGCTACTTATACTTTTATTGTATTTTCTAATATTTTATTATTATTTATATTCTAACTAGAATATATAGAGTTTTGGTGGTCGTAAATTATGTTTTCTTGCTCCATAACTGGTTGTGTTACTGCTAATGGTAGAGTGTATACTGATATTCGTAGGGAAGGAGATCAAGGTTTACATGGCAATCACATGTTGATTCTTAGAATTTGATTGTGTAATTTATGGTGCTCAGCAGCAGTCAGTGTGATATTCAATGAATTAGATGAAGTGACAACTGATATTATTTCAATTTAATAATTGAATTAAATAAAAAAAAGACAAAAGGTATATTATACTAGTTATAAAAAAAAGGTGAATAATATTTACTATATCAGTTATTTTTTCTTATTGTATAAAACAAGAATAATAAAAAATAGTAAAAACAGTAAATGAATTAGATTATGAAGAGAAAAAGAACATAAAAAAAAGTTAAATGAAATTAGAAAAGAACAAGAAATAAAGAAAATAAAAGAGAAAAGGATTTAAATGAAATTAGAAAAGGAACAAGAAATAAAGAAGGAGTCAAAATTGAATGTGAAATAAGTTATGGTAAAAATAACAATAATGTGATTTGCGAAAAATAAATGAATAGAAAAAGAGAAAAAAGAAAAAAATAAGAAGAAACGAAAAAAAAAGTAAAGGAAAAAAAAAAGAACAAAAGGAAAACAGAAAAGAAGCATAGGAATAAAAATGAATTGGAGAAAAAAGAGAAATTCCCCATAAAAACTACTATGGATAAGAAATGTAATTAGTTTGATGGGTAGAAAAACAAATGGGTAGAAAAGATAAATAATTTTATTTTTGTGGGTAACTGTGTCATTCACCCCTTTTTATAGGAACCAGCCCGGTATTGGGCCCACGAACTCATGATCCCGGGCTAAACGGTCCCGGCCCGCGGGCCCCACAGATATTTTTTTTAACAGTTAAATAGAAATTAGAGACAACAAGATGTTAAAAAAATATCTATGGCAGTGCCTTGTAAATTTTATTATAGAATTGTGACCTAAATTTTTTAATTCAAATTTAAAGTCTAAAGACAAAAATATTATAAAGAGATATTCAAAGCAATGCCTTGTAATTTTATTATAGCATTAAAAAAAATATAACAATATCTTTTTTAGTCTTCCTCCCCTCTTGGAATGAGCACAACAAGGTGCTAATACCACCTTATTGACGAACTGACGCACAACTTGTTTACCGAATTGACGAACAACTAGTTGAAAATTGATTATCATTGAAGACTTGAAGACTTCAATTCACCAACTTTACAATTTTTTCACAAATTGTAATAATAAAGTAAGCAATAGTAGCAATTATAGAAGAAAATTAGAGAGAGATTGTGATAGTTGATGATTTTTTAAGAAAAATGAAAGAATGAGGGAGTATTTATAGTTGAAAATAGGGAAAAAGTGCAATCATAAAAAGTTTAGGGTTAAAACAAAGTTGGGGGGGTTAAATGGCTATTTTGTAAATAGCCAACGGCTATTTTGTGACACCCAACCGCCAAATTTTTAATTCCCCAACGGACAGTTTTTTTTTTTAAAAAATTTGACCGTAGGGACCGTTTGGCACGTCAGGGACCGGTCCGGTCCCAATCTGTAGAACCGGCCTAGAAGCCCGGACCAGGTCCATGAATACCGGTCCTGGCCCGTTTGGCTCCGGGCCGGTCTCGGCCCCGGACCGGCCCACTTGCCACCCTTAATGCAAAATGTAATATGTGCAGGCTCTCAAATGGGGTCTTTGCATCTATACCCGCTTTTTGTGTCACGTTTTAACTTGTACACGCTTTGCAAAAAAAAATTGTAACCGTACCCACTTTTTCTGTAACTTCAGCATATCGTCCTGAAGTAGCAAAGGCAATCACGCAAACTTCAGTATTCTAGTAGACGGGCCTGAAGAAGCAAAAATTGCTGAACCAAGTGTGCTAAAGTTTTGTTTGTAATTGCTGAACTTAAGCATTCTAGTGCTGAAGTTTTGTTCTCTATTTACTGAATTTTTTATTTGTAATTGCTGAACTTAAGCATTCTAGTACCTGAAGTTTTGTGATCCTGAAGTTTTTTAGTTCATTTGTAAAAACTTCAGCACTAAATAAGCTGAAGTTTTTTGTCCTGGATTCATTAGTTTTGTCATAAAGCTTTTTCAAAAACTTCGGCAGAAGATGGTGAAGTTATTTAGTTCATTTATAAAAACTTCATCACTAAAAGTTATTTAGTTCATTTGTAAAAACTTCAGCACTAAATAAGCTGAAGTTTTTTTGTCCTGGATTCATTAGTTTTGTCATAAAGCTTTTTCAAAAACTTCAGCAGAAGATGCCGAAGTTATTTAGTTCATTTGTAAAAACTTCAGCACTATATAAGCTGAAGTTTTTGAAAAAACTTTCTAACATACTAGATAAATAATCACCTTATTCTTTCATAGTGTATTACTACTATAGAATAATCAGATTGCCAACATTATCTAAATCATAAATTTTGTAAACAATAAACGTAAAAAGAACAGAATTATCATGAAAAGAATCACTAAGTGTGACCTTAAACTTCCCGTACGTGTAAATATTCACAAATTATTGTCTACTAACTTACGTAATTATTTATAATTTATTTTTAAATAATCTGATAAACATACTTATGGCAATCATCCCATGAACTGAAGTTTCATAGCAGCACCAACAGCAGCAGAAGAAAGAAGAAGAAGAAGAAGAAGAAGAAGAAGAAGAAGAAGAAGAAGAAGAAGAAGAAGAGGAGGAGGAGGAGGAGTTTAAAAAGTGAGTACAAGTTAAAACTTTAAAAAAAAAAATGAGTATAGGTTAAATGGGAGCGACCAAATATAGCGCCCTGTGCAATTTTTACCTCTCAAACATGCAATTAATATTAGTATCATATAAAAGCAGTCTCGAAGGTAATCAAACTTTTGGTAGAATCCGCCTGAGCTACTGTTTGGCGTTGTGCTTTAGCAGTTACATCATAATTTCCATTAATATGTTACAGAATTTAAATTTTATATTTGCATAAAGTTGGCCTAAGGTGCATTTAATTGGATAAACATAATCGACTCCACTCGTTTAATTAAATTGTGGTGTAGTTGTTATTGTTGTTGAGATTCTACGTAGCAGTTGTAGGTAAGATTTACGTGATAGCGATATAGTTCTTAGACTATGTTATTACATGTTAATTGAAGTACATTGAATCTACCACTATGTGGTTGATTTTGAATCAGTTACAACAACAACAACCCAGTATAATCCCACAAATGACATCTAAGGAGGGTATGATGTACGTAGCTTTACCCTGCCCTGGAAAGGTAGACAGATTGTTTCTGGTTGATTTTGAATCAAAAGTGCTAATTACTCCGATTCCATTCATTGTCCTCGTACTGCATGCATGCCGAGTGGAATTAATATATTATTTTTTAACTTGAAATGATCTTTATGCTAAGTTCATACGTGGTAGCGTGTGTTCAATAGCACAACTTGAATGACATTGAAGTGACTAATAGGAACAAGCCTTTGTTCAAATATCAAAATGAAAATTGATAATAACTTTAAGAGGCCGCTTAAATAGACGGAAGCGGATGCGTGCCGCGGAGTTTATATTTTATTCAAGCCGCACCTAACTAAAGTAATATCCCATGCTGCAAGCCGCAGCCTATGACAAGAAAGTTTGACTTTAGTAATTCACTTTAAATATTTGGATAGGCAGATAGCTCTACAGTTGCAAATAGGTAGCATAAATTTAATTTCTTTTTGAATATTGGTATCTAACTAGTCACATACCACATAATATTGGTACTCTCTATTGTTTTTAGAAAATTTCAGCATATATAGTAGGTACTGGACTCCATCTACATAAGTAAAATCATTCAAGAAATCCAGGTGATTTTGTACATGTGCAAATGCTTTACTTAATTAGTTATCCAGTATAATTTCCCTGCAACACATAGTTTTCCAGTACTTCTAAGGCCTGATAATATCTTATGTACAAGGATTTATAATATGAATTTAACCCCCATAAATTTTCTTACCTCTAGCTCACTTCTGTGAACATTCTTCATCAATGGAATCGTGCTGCATTAATCAGTTTCTAGAAGGCAAGACCATTTTCATCACTGGTGCAACTGGCTACCTAGCAAAGAGTACTCTCTCTCTCTCTCTCTCTCTCTCTCTCTCTCTCCTATATATAGGTTGCACTAACAGTGCTTCTTGAGGAGATGATAACATAGATGAAATTTCTAGTGCTTTATTTGTTACATATTAATGTAGTTCTCATCGAGAAGATACTCCGAGTCCAGCCAAATGTGAAGAAGCTCTACTTGCTAATTAGAGCTCCAGATTCAAATTCAGCTAAAGAGCGTTTTAACAACGAAGTACGTACTACTGCAACATAACGAATAGTAGTAGCAGTAGAAATAATAGCCATCATATTAGACTATACAGCTCCAATCCACATGAGAATCCAAGATTTTCAGAGTTAAAGAATATATTTTAATTGCAGGTCATAAAGACGGACCTGTTCAGAGTTCTAAGGGAGAAGTTGGGTGCCAACCTACATTCCCTTATACAAGACAAGGTTTTCCCAGTTCCTGGTGATATAGCTTGTGATAATTTGGGGATAAATTCTGATATGCAAGATGAGATGTGCAGAGAAATAGACATAATTGTAAACTCAGCTGCTACGACTAGATTTGATGAAAGGTAGTTCTATAGAATAACAATATTATTTCGTAAAAAAAGAATAGAATAACTTATTCCATTCTTGTGCAGATATGATACTGCAATAAGGATCAATGCATTTGGTACCTTGAATGTTCTCAAATTTTCCAGGCAGTGTTCAAAACTAAAGATGCTTCTCCACGTAAGCACAGGTCAGCTCCATATTCTTCCTTGTGCTTAATTAACCAACTTTCATTATCATGACTTAAGGCCCGCGTATTGAGTTAACATAAAGACTGATTCTTTTCAGCCTATGTTTGTGGAGAAAAGGAAGGATTGATACTAGAGAAACCATTGCACTATGGTGAGACGCTTAATGGAGGCTCTCAATTGGACATAGAAGTGGAGCAAAAGTTGGTAGAGGAGACACTAAAAGACCTTAAAGCTAGGAATGCCGCTGAAAAAGAAGTAACTTTAGCTATGAGAGTTCTAGGTATTGAGAGGTAAATATTTCATAAAATCAGTCTCATTAATAAGATGGGTATTTGTACCCTATTCTTTTGGAGATTTATAGGGTTCTTTACCACCTTTCACGGCTATTATGATTCTTCAGGGCAAAGATACATGGATGGCCAAACACATACTCGTTCACAAAAGCAATGGGAGAGATGCTTTTGGGACACCTGAAGGAGGATCTCCATCTCATAATCCTTCGGCCAACAATCATATCAAGCACATACAAGGAGCCATTCCCAGGATGGAATGAAGGACTGAGGTAATGACTATATAGCATTCATGCATGCACACATGAAAAAGAAGAATAAGTCTTAGCGAAACCAATCTGATTCTTCCTTCCACAGAACCATGGACACCTTCATTGTTGGCTATGGTAAAGGGAAACAGAATGTTGCGATGGGTGATAGAGAATCAATACTGGATGTGGTATGTGACTCAATACCTTATCTCATAATGGAATGCGCAAGTTTCTCTTGTTTGCATCAGCTGGTCTTAATTTGTTCATCTACACTTCGAGTTCCTACGTATTCACACTTCCTTAATGCCATCTTGCAATTTTGCCCAGATTCCAGCCGATATGGTTGTGAACTCAGTCATCGCGGCTATGGTAGCCCATAGAAATCGATCTTCCCATACGGCTATTTACCATATTAGCTCCTCTAGGACGAATCCACTAAAAAATACTGATATTATGCAATTTTCCGCTGAATACTTCAAGAAGAATCCATGGATTAACGAAAGAGGAACGCCAGTCAAAGTCAAGAAATTTCATTTACTGGATGGCATGGCTAGCCTTCACAAATACATAGCTATCCACTACATGCCATTATTAAAGGTTAGTTTTCATAGTAATGTCTTCTTAGATAACTGTAAAATTTAAGCCTTTTTGGCTTCACTTGACCAAGAAGTAGACAGTACTAACTTGGATTATTTGTGCTTATAGATGCATTTATTGGAAAAATATGGGACAACACATATAAATTTCAACATTTCTAACATAGAACACTAATCAGTTAGACTAAAACTCTCTTTCGTTGAAAATCAGTTGGTATAAACTAGAAAACTCGTGATAAATACAGCTAAAAGAGGAAAAGACCATGGTATGCAAGAGAGATGTATCAAAAAAAACAGACAGTGTTTATGAATGTTGACATGCACTTGAGCATTGATCGGTTACCACTGGTTAAGTTTATATTTTAACATGTTTCAGATATTAAAGTGGGCAAACTTGATACTTTGCCAACGTTTACAAACCTTGCATTCAAACTTAGAAAGAAGGATCAATCGCGTCATTCGACTTGCTGAACTCTACAAACCCTATACATTATTCAAAGGAATGTGAGTTCATTAGTATTATGTTATATTAACACATTTAAGTAGTCAACTACAGCTCGTTTCAGTATTTATTAATTAATCAAATTTAAAGCTGTGCCTAATTGCTATTCTAATACCATTACTGCTGATTTTTACCAGTTTCAATGATACCAATGCTGAAATGCTGCGAATGGCAACAACAGAAAGTAATGCAGATGATACATTTAATTTTGATCCAAGAACCATTCAGTGGGAAAAATACTTCAAGGAAATTCATATTCCCGGATTAGTGAAATACGTTTTCTAAAAAGGCAGAATTATGCGATAAAAAAGGCTGATATGCCACTCTGCTTAAAGCTGTGTTGCTGCTTAAATTCCATTATGAAGTTGTTCGAATGACAATGTCAGTTCAAGAAAATATTGGCGGTATTATATGTAATTGAAAGACCACTTTCTCTGTTTCACATATGATTAATAGTAGTAATAACTATTTACCAGCAAATTGAACTCAAAGATTGGGTTCTTTTTCTTGTACATATATATGTAACGGCTTTCATCAGAAGAATAAGTAGCTTTTATATAACATACACGATTTTATATTCTGTCTATTCATTTCTCCATTTTTTATTTTTTTGGTTTCTGATAGATAATTTATGCTAATACATCAACAACTTGATCGATCCTTTATTTGATCATTCTTTCTTCTTCTTTTTTTCAGCTATAGCAAGCGAAAAATTGCTTCAACTAATTAGAAAACAAATTAAAGAAAAATGTCCAAGGATCAGATACTTATTTATGCAATTTTTCATCCACCAAAATTCAAGAGTTAAACAAGTAGAACAAGGACTGATACATTAATAATTTAGCAAGTAGAGTTCAATATGAAGAAATAGACAATTAATTACCAATCTCTCAAGAAGGATGAACCTTGTTAGAGCTGTGAGAAGAAATGGCTTTAATAGCAGATTTCATAGAGGCACCAGCAGAATTAACAGCACTTTCAATATACTTTTTAGCAGCAACTGTAGCCACTTTTTCCATAGCGTTTCCTATTTTTCTAGCTCTTTCAGCAACACCCACTAAGCTATCATACTCAGCTTTAGCCATTTGGTTCATTTCCTCCTCGAAACGGCGGAACTCTTCCATGGCGTCTTCCATGGCAGTGTTGAGATGATCCTCTGCTTCTTTCATGTAATTCTCAGCTTCTTCAACTTGTTTTTCTTGATCTAATTCCATAGCTGCCCAAGCCTTATAAGCTTCCACTTCGAAGAGTTTCATGAGATCGTCTTCTATGGTGTAAGGGTCGAAGTTCTTGTCACAAAGAGCTTGATCTGAAAGAATATTGAATTGAGCAAAAAGAGCCTCCATTTTTTTTTTTTTTGTGTTACTGTTGTGAAATTGGGAATGGAGAAAAATGGGGTTTCAGAATTTCAGTGGTGAAGGTAATTTATTAATTTGGATTTGATGATTGGAACAACAGTGTTTAGATAGACGAAAGCCACTTTGGTAAAGGAATGGTAGATGAGGGCCCCCAACATTCTCCTTCAAAGCACACCAACGGTTCAGTTGAATTTATGCACTATCTTGCTCCTCTCTTTTTTTTTTATTTTTTTTTATTTATAGAAGTACTACTACCTTTTTCCTAGTACTTTTTCTTTATTTCCTTTTTTGTTTTGTTCAGTATGTTGAATTTTGAAATCGCAACACTATAATATAGATTGTTACTTGTATAATAACAAAATAACTATAACTCAATTTGTTATTAATGGAAGAGGAAATTCCAGAAAACAATTATAAAAAACAATTAAGCATCAAGTTTTGAGTACAATTTATAAGGAAAGAAGTCACATTGAATAATAGTTTATTGTTCACTTTTTTTGTGTTCACTAATGAAATGAAGCAACTTGACAAATAGATGAAGTATTTATCTTTCTTAATTCATCTATCGAAGTTAGTTGAATCTTTTTACTGATGTGCTACTGTATATGTAGCTTCATCGCTTCGTGGTATGAATGACAGAGTATCGATGAAGAGCAGTATAGAAAAATCAAATGGTCCGAACAGCAGAGAAAGATCAGATGGTCCTTTTAAAATCCCTCGCCAATGTCGTTCTATAAGACCGTAATTGTATCTATATTGATTCTAACACTGAATTATAAGGTGCAGGCCTTCCACATTGATGGAAAAATTGTTGTTTCTATTGCAAAAAAATATGAATTCTACCACATGATATATAGTTTGCAAGAAGATATTCTCGGTAATGACTCCGTGAATCCATTTTTTTGAGTTGGAGATCAGCATGCATTTGCCATCACGAAACTATTCTAACTTATATGTTATAATCTTAGGAGTTTCCATAATTGGCAAGAGGTTCAAATCATACCATATTGGTATTGTGTGATCTGGACTCTGAAGTCTGAACAATACCTGCTCATATTTTTTTATATTCCATTTTGTAGGTGATACCTTGCAAGTTTACACACCAGCGAATTGTACATTTGGATAGCTTCACCCAACACGATCTTCCGGGGTGAACAAGAATTGGGGATCGGATGCGGCGAA